TTCAAGGGGCATGGCAGTGGGGCCCGCCCCGGGCGGTTCCCCCAGTATCCGCCCCGCGGTTCCCCCAGCTACGTCCCCTTAGCTTAGCGTTGCTTATCTCATCTTAGCTTAGCTTATTTCATCTTAGCTTAGCTTAGTCTTAGCTTAGCTCAGGTTTATCTTAGTTTAGCGTACCTTCATATTAGCTTCGCTGAGCTTCAGCATAGCAGAGCACAGCATAGCATAGCGTAGCATAGCATAGTGCAGCACAGCATATCATAGCATAGCCCAGCATGGCATAGCATAGCGCATCATAGCATAGCATAGCATAGCATAGCGCAGCACAGCACAGCACAGCACAGCACAGCGCAGCATAGCATAGCATAGCATAGCATAGCATAGCATAGCATAGCATAGCGCAGCATAGCATGGCATGGCATAGCATAGCATAGTATAGCATAGCATAGCATAGCAACTAATGCTGCTTTCCTAGGGGCTCCAACTTCTAGGTAGGGTCGCACTGGGGTAAATTGAATTTTCTCATTTGTCCTCCAAAATCCGCCTGTAGGGGGACATGCCCGACCTAAGGCAAGTTTGGAGACGACCTTGCGGTCGACGCACAAGACGCTGAGGGCATGTGGAGGATTTACATATGAGAGGGAGGAGGCGAAGGACGCAAGCGAGCACGAAGAGGAAAGCGGGATTGCACACAAGCTTTCCGCACCGGTGCCGAAGCTCGCCGCAGGTGCCCTCGACAGAGAAGTCCGCAGGGGGAGGCGTGCGGAGAGAGACTGGGAAGGCCTTCTGCTGCTGGGCCGAAGCCGCTCCTCCCGTCGGCCACGCCTGGCGAGGCGAGGGACGCTACGGTTCGGGCGAGACAAATGAGGCTGGCGGTCTCCAGTCAACGGGCCGGCCCTTGTTGGCGAACTTGCCCACCAGGTTGGCTTTGAAGCAGAAGTGCAGGAGGCTCTCGGACGCGAGCGTCCTGGCTCGGCCGGGCCCTGCCGCAGCTCATGACCGGGGTGCAGCCGCGCTCGCCCCTGGAAGGCGGCGACGTGGAGACGGCGAGGGCAGTCGGCGTGCCCGAGGATGTAGGCCCCATGGGGACTCGACGCAGGAGATGATGACGAGGTCGGTTTCCCTGCCTCGCTTCTGGTCAGCGGATGTGCTCTCGCAGTTGCGCCATCCACCCTGTAGAGCAGGGAAAAGAAAAGGCCGCGCTCGGGCACGCCCAGCCGCGGAGATGCTGACGGGTCTGGGGCGAGCCAGCGGCCGAGCCCCCGTGGAGGGGCCACCCGGAAAGAAAGGGGGGCATCGACCTGAGCCGGCGCGGGGTGGTGCTTGCAGCCGAGGGGTCAGGGCCGACATGCGGCACGACGGCCGCGAGCAGGCGCCAGGTGGCGTGCCCTCCATACCGAGTGCAGAAGCGGGACCCCCGCGCGTGCTCGGCGGAGGGCACGCGGAGGGCAGGGAAGCGGTCTGCGTCGCCTGGCGGGGAGGCACCCGGGCCGTCGAAGCAGTGGAGCAGCTGTCGCTGCGGTGAGGAAGCGCACGTGCACACGTACGTACACACACACACACACAAACATACGCACTGTCCGGGGAAATAAATGGACCCCTAAAAAACATTGCTTTAGCCCACAATTGGGGCAGAACCCCCTCTGGAGCCGGACAAATGGAACATTTCCAAGACGGCTCAAGACAGCCAAGACGGTTCAAGACAGCCCAGAACGGTTGCCAGAATGCACCCTAGATGGGAGTAGGCAGTTCTAGCAGGACCGTTGGAAGGCTTTGGAGCGGGAGCAATATGTAGTTTCTCGATAGTTCCCTAGCAGTTTTACGATTATTGCGTGTCCGCTGCTCAGAGCGCCCACGTCGGCACAATGGGTCTCCAATGCCACACCGAGAAGGCTGAACAGAGCCCCAAGAGGATCCCAAGAGCCGCCCCAGGGTGCCCAAGAGGGCCCAAAGACGCCACCAAAGACGCCACCAAAGGGCTCCCTGAGGAGCTCTGGGCCTCAAGAGGGCCCAGGTGATGCATGAGATAGCCCCGCGACAGGCCCAGGGACCTCAGCACAGTCCAAAGCAGCCGAAGACGGAGCAAGACAGCCCAGAGCGGCTGCCAGAATTCGCCCTAGATGTGCCGAGACAGCCTGAAGAGTTCCCTTGGAAGGCTTAGGAACTGCAGAAGTCAATGAGTATGCGAGTTAGTCTTGTAATCTTACGACGATTACGTTTCCACTGCTCAGAACGCCCAAGGCGGCCTAAGAGGTACCCACTATCCGAGACAGCCCAACAGGCCCCTGGAGGACCCAAAGAGAGGCGCCCAAGACAGCCCAAGGGGGCCCCCTTAGGAGCTCAAGACGGCCCGAGGGGGATCCAAGACGGCCCACGTGGGGCCTGAGATGGCCCCGCGACGGGCCCAGGGACTTTCGAGACAGCCAAGAGCAGCCGAAGATGGCCCAAGAGGGCCCCCAGACCGCCCGAGGCCCCTGGACGCCCCCACAGCGGCGCCAGCAGACCCCCGAAACGGCCCACGACACCCCAAATCCTCACCGCGCGGGAGGTGTTTGGTCAGACCCTGCGCGGGGGGACTCGTGACGCCCTCGAGGGGAGCACGCTCCGAGCGCTGAGCCCCTGTGTCCCCGGGCCTGCCTGGGCTCGGGGTGCGTCCAGTTCCCAGAGAAGCCCCGCCGTGGCCACAAAGGCCTTTTCTAGACGAGAGGAGAAGCAGCAGGAGGAGGGAGTGGAGGAGGAGGAGGGAGTGGAGGAGGAGGAGGAGGAAGAAGACGACGACGACGAGGAGCGAGAGGAAGTCGAAGAGGATGAGGAAGATGGAGACGAGTGCAGGAAGCCCAGGACGCACGAACGATGCTGCAACACACACTGCCGTCTCAAGCCTCTTCCTCGTAGGTCCCTGCACGCAGTCCTCGTCATGACGTGCAGCGCCTCCTTGAAAGGCGAGCGCCCCATGGGTATGCAATGCAGGCGAAAGCCCGGTGTTGAAAAGGATGTGTTGTCGATGATTCCTGTTGTAAGACATGTAGAGACGAAGACTCAGAAAGCCCAAGGAAGTGTCCAGCGAACGCCCAGTTATTGTAAGGAATAGCCGAATAGCATTCGCATCCTGAAAGTTCGCTGTTGCAGTTCTCGAGGTGCTGGTCATATAATGTAAGGAAATAACCAGCGAGAGCCCCGTCATGAAGAAGAAAATACCAAGACGGTTCAAGATGTGCCCAAGATGGTCCTAACACGGCCCCACGATAGCCCTTAGACGCATTCCCCAATAACGTATGTCTAAGAGGTTCCGCGACGGTCTGGGAGCCCTATGGCTCGACCCATGGCCCGTTCAGACGGCTCCACGCCGATCGCAGAGCCCAGATTCCCTCAAAAGTGAGTCCTTATAAGCTAATGTTGTTACTAATTGGGACCCCTCTGAGTTCCTTGTACCCGCTCATCGGCGACTGCTTCGCCCTTGTGGAGCCATCTTCGATCTAGGAACTGAGAATCCCAGACCCCCCCCCACCGAAGCAGAGTCGCAGGTTTTGGACGGATTTGGGTCTAGTAGGGGTTCTTTTCGGCCTCTCTTGTGGCGGTCTTCGGGCCGCCTTCGAGTAGTTGTGGAGCCTCTGTGGCCCGTCTCGGCCGACACTTCCCGCGGCGCTCAGACGGCCCCTCGCCCGCTCCCAGAGCCCGGAGCCACCTCCCAAGAGACCCGCGCCCCCACGGGCAGGTCACCACGCTTCCAGAGCGCGTCATCACCCCCAACATACGTACACGGTCAGGAACTTCTGCTCAGCGCGTCGCGGCGGTTGCCCCGACGACGCGCGATCCCTTGAGAGCGGATGGCGTGGCGCTCCGCTCCGCGGGGCGGGATGCCTCGTAAAGCTCGGGACGTTGACGCCTCAGGGCCGGCACGTGGTGAGCGACGGGGGCAGGGAAGGGCTCGGGGCGTGGACGCCTGGGGGCTGGGAAGTGGACGGCGTGTCGCGCCACCCGGCGGAGCGACACGCCATCTATAAGAGTTCCCGACCGTCACCACATCTTCCTCCTCCTCCTCCTCCTCCTCCTCCTCCTCCTCCTCCTCCTCTCCTCCTCCTCCTCCTCCTCCTCCTCCTCCTCCTCCCTCCTCCTCTCCCCCCCCTCCTCCTCCTCCTCCTCCACCTCCACCCTCCTCCCCCTCCCTCCTCCTCCTCCTCCTCCTCTCCTCCTCCTCCTCCTCCTCCCCTCCTCCCTCTCCTCTCCTCCTCCTCCTCTCCCTCCTCCTCCTCCTCCCTCCTCCTCCTCCTCCTCCTCCTCCTCCTCCTCCTCCTCCTACTCCATTCCTTCTCCTTATAGATAACTCCTCCCTGTCGCACCCCGAGGCCAGTTTTGGGGGCGGGCCAGGCGTTTCGCCTGAGACTTCCTCAACATACGACTCTGAAGCAGAAAAAGTGACAACAGTTTCACAGATGGAGGGCGGGTGGTTTTCAAAATGCGGCTCTCGTTTGAGCGCCGCGCACATTCGTTTTCATAATTTGCCAGAGTTGCACGGATTGAAGGCGGCTCCTTTTCAAAATGTAATTCTCGCCTTAGCGCCGCGCACATTCGTTCCACAATTTTCAAGAGTTTCACGGATTTCCAGGATCAACGTACCAGAAACTGCGTTTTGGAAGGATTCCGGATTATGCAGGCGCAACAGTCATGTTGATTCGTTGTGTTGAAGCCCCCAAAAAACGGCGTCCTGGCACGATTCTGGATCGTCAAGACGTTTCAGTCAGGTTGATACGTGGCGCTGAAATCCCGAGAACAATGTTTTGGCACGCTTCAGGATCTTCAAATTGTTGTCTTCCAACGGGGCAGTTCCCTCAATGGAAATGAACCGCTGTAGGGGCCTATGAAGAGAGAGCTTGGAGGGAGGGTTAATTCCAACATCGATGATGACTCTTCGGTTTCCACTGGTCCTCCTCCTCCTCCTCCTCCTCCTCCTCCTCCTCATCCTCCTCCGTCTCCTCCTCCTCTTCCTCCTCCGCATCATCGTGGCCTCTACTCCGAGCACGCCGCATCAGCGCAGAGCGCGGCAGCAGGCCAAGCTGCCGCGCGCGCCCCCAGAGGCGCACGCCGCCGTGGTCGCCGACACCACGCGGGTCCTGGCCAGGCAGCCGGCCAACGTCAAGGAGGGCGCAGTTTGCGTTCGGGGGGCGGCATGCTTCGCTGTCGGGCACTCCCGCCGGCAGACGGGGAGCTGGGAGGAGGAGGAGGAGGAGGAGGAGGAGGGGAGGAGGAAGAGGTCAAGCGAAGGGGGAGGAAGGGGAGGAAGAGGAAGAGGTGGTTGAGGGGGAGGTGGGAGGACGGGCGGGGTAGGAGGAGGAGTCGGCGGCGGCGGAGGAGGAGGTGGAGGAGGAAGAGGAGGAGGAGGAGGAGGAGGAGGAGGAGGAGGAGGGAGGTTGTGGGGACTTCTAGTGGTGATCTAGGGCGTCCTTGGGAGCTCCAGGGGCTTCCACAGGGTGAGGGAGAAGAAGGAGGTGGAGTGAGGAGGAGGAGGAGGAGGAGGAAGAGGAGGAGGAGGAGGAGGAAGGTTTGGGGCGGCTTCTGGTGCATGCGCTTGGGCAGAAGGGGGGTGTACCCACCCACCCCGAGCAAGCAACCCCAACGCGTCGTCGTCGCCGTCGTCATCGTCGTCCTCGTCCTCATCCTCGATATCGTCGTCGTCCTCAGTGCTGTTGTCGTTGTCGTCTGCCGACGCGTCGAGTCGGGGGGTGTCTGGACCGCCTCCCCACCCCTTGCGCCAGGGAGGGGGCGGATGGTGGGGGGGAGGGGAGGGCCCACTTGAGGAATTGTCCAAGGCAAGCGAACTTGAAACGCCCTCTCTCCAAGGCTTTGATCGTAGCCCCCTCTCCGCCCTCCTCGCATGCCCCTCCCGTTGCAATTCCTCACGCTTCGCGTAATTATCCCCACCAGCGGACCAGGTGGGGATACGCGAAGCGAGAGGAAGCCCGGCTCAAGCCTTGGCTCAAGCCTGGCTCAAGGGGGCGCCCGTACGCTGCGCCGCGGTCCGCGCCGCGCCCGGCCTGCCGCGTTGGCCTCCGCTGCCGCCGCCCATCGGCGGGCCGCCTGCCCGGGCCCGCCCCTGGCTGCTGCTGCTGCCGCCGCCGCCGCCACCCCCCCCGGGGGCTGGCGCGCGCGCGGCGGCGGGCGGCGGTGGCGCCGCAGACCCTGCTGCCGCCGCCCGCGGCGGGCCGCCTGGCTTGCCGCCCTAGCCGCTGCTGCTGCCGCCCGCGCGCCGCCGCCTCCCCCCTGGATGCGGGCGTGCGCGCGGCGGCGGGCGGCGGTAGCGGCGCCGGGCCTGGCTGCCGCTCCCCGCGGAGGCCGCCAGGCCTGGCCCGCCCCCGGCCGCTGCTGCCGCCGCCGCCGCCGCCGCTGCCGCCGCCTCCCCCCCGGAAGCTGGCGTGCGGCGGCGGCGGGCGGCGGTGGCGCCGCAGGCCTGGCTGCCGCCGCCCGCGGCGGGCCGCCTGCCCGGGCCCGCCCCCGGCTGCTGTTGCTGCTGCCGCCGCCGCCGCCCCCCCCCCCCCCCGGGGGCTGGCGCGCGCGCGGCGGCGGGCGGCGGTGGCGCCGCAGGCCCGGCTGCCGCCGCCCGCGGCGGGCCGCCTGGCCTACCGCCCTGGCCGCTGCTGCTGCCGCCGCCGCCGCCGCCTCCCGCCTGGAGGCTGGCGCGCGCGCGGCGGCGGGCGGCGGTGGCGCCGCGGCGGCGGCACCCGCGGCGGCGGCGGCGGCACCCGCGGCGGCCGCGCAGCAGCTGCGGCAGCAGCTGCAGCTGCAGCAGCAGCAGCAGCGGCTCAGCGGCGGCAGCAGCAACAACAGCCGCAGCAGCCGCCGCCGCAACGGCAGCAGCAGCAGCAGCGGCAGCTGCAGCTGCACAGAAGCAGCCCCTGCAGCAGCAGCCCCTGCAGCACCAACGGCAGCAGCACCAACGGCAGCAGCAGCTTCAGGAGCAGCACACAGACTCATGCGGCGATTAGCTGCGACCCCCGAGGACCAACCACCCCCACTGTCTGGTCACCCTGCAGGTTCAAATCTGCGTCGAATTGATACGACCCTGGAGGACCAACAGTCGGAGACACCCACCATCAAATAGTGGTCCAAGCGGCGATATGCTGCGACCCCCGAGGAATGGAAGAGAGCTGGCGGACCAACAAACGGAGACACCAACCCTCAAATAGAGATCATTGCGGCGATCTGCTGCGACCCTCCTTTGCCGGGACCATGGGCCTGGGGCCTCCCTCGGGGACTCAAGGTACTCTTGCATCCCGGCTCTGGCAGCCAAGGGCCGTCACTCGCCTCCCCCCCCGCGCACGCTTCGTCTTCACAGTGCCCACTGTCATCAGTTGCAGCGCTGTGAACAGGTGCGTGTGAGGTGGACACTGACAGCAGCTCAGTCCCGCCCAGCAAAAGGAGGCAGGTGGCCTTGGTGCCCAACGTGATCTGTGACTGCAGTGGGATCCGTGTGTGCGTCCCGCGGATTCTCTAGGGGCTCTTGCATCCCGGTGCTGTCCTCCCTGAGGTGTCTGCCGTTCGGGCTCGCGTTCGCCCTCTGGGGCTCAGGGTGCTCTTGCATCCCGGCGCTGTCGGTCCCACGGAATCGGAGACACCATCCAATAAATTGAGATCCACATGCTCCGGCGCGATTGCCGGGATGTGGGAAGCTAAGTTGGAACCCGCTGTCTTCAGTTGCAGCGCCGGGATCAGGTGCGAGAAGGGTGGACACTGACAGCAGGCCTTGTCGCTGCCTGGCTAAAGCTGCTGGCTGCATCGGGGTCCTACGTGACCTGTTACAGCAGTGGGATCTGAGTGTGCATGAAGAGCGGTCAATGGCAGCAGGCTCTGTCCTAGCTCGGCGGGTGCGCCACCTATCCCACGAGTGCGAGGGCCTGACCGAGGGGAGGCGCGGCTTTCCCCCCGCCTCTCTCCTTGGGGGCCCTGCGGGTGTCGCAACGCATGTGACGGTGGCTGGGAGTGGCAGTGCACACTGCTCTTGCACTGGGGTTGGCGGCGTGCCTCTGCGGCCTTGCCTGGGCACCTCTCCGTCAATAACGGCTCAAGCGGCGATTAGCTGCGATCCCCGAGGGCCAACCACCCCCGCTGTTCTGTCACTCTGCCGTTCCACATCAGCTGCGGTTTGCTTCGTCCCTGGACGACCAACAATCGGACACACCTACCATCAAATAGTGATCAGCGGCGATTAGCTGCGACCCCCGATTAAATGAAAGGGACCAACAATCGGACACACCAAGATCAGAGCGGCGATTAGCTGCGACCCCCGGGGTGATTAAAGAGAGATCTCAGCGGCGATTAGCTGCGACCCCCGAGGAGATTAAAAGAGAGTTCATAGCGGCGATTAGCTGCGACCCCCGAGAACGACCCAAGAGGTGACCATGGCCCCTAGCCCTCGGATTCGGGGCCAGGCCGAGGGGAGAGGCGGTGCGTCCCTTCGCCTTTCCCCTCTCGGGCCAGGCGGGTGCCCCCCGCCCTTGGCCTCGGGGCCTACCAAACGTACTGTCTGACGTCGGTGTGTTCGCCCCCCCTCCCCGGGCCGCCCGTGTTCCGCGCTGCTCGTGGTCTGGCTCATCACTCTCAGCGTCGTTCGCTTCGGCCCTGGGGGACCACGTGGCGTGCGTAGGCCCACGGGTCTGGGGGGCAGTGCCAAGCGGCGGACTGGGCCAGGCTTGCCTCCTGGCCCCCGTGTCCTCCACAGTGCAGCTTTCCCTGGCGCTTCGCCCTACAACCCGCTGGATTAAAAAGTTGGGACGGCGGGGTTCGAGAGAGAGAGAGAGAGACGCTGTTGGCCACCCGTTAGGCCATGGGGCCCAGGACAATGTTGGATTCGATGCCGAATTGGGAGTTTCAGACGCATACCTCACCCCCTTTAATATTATAAAGGCCAAATGGGGCCGGCGTCTGAAAGTGGCATTCCGCCTAGGACTTCTTCAAACAAATTGTCAGATCGCTTTCCAGGGCGATCTGAAAGTCTCCCATGCCGTCTGAAAGTGGCGATTTCGCGTAGGATTTCCTCACAAAAAGGTCCAGATCGATGTTCATGCCGCCTGAGAGTGGTCGTTTCGCTTAAGACGTCCTCAAACAGCACTTGCAGGTTGCCTTCCATGCCGCCTGAAGACAAAGATTTCGTGTGCGATGAGTTCCATAACTTTGCGCTGCAGAGCTCCACGCCCTGCGGAGCCGTTCCGTCATTCGGTTCACGGGCCTGCCTTGGAGTCATCTCGGGGTTGATCGATGGTGGAGGCTCGAGGGCCAGTCGACCGGCGAATCCCGCGGGGATCGCTCTCTCGCATAGTGCCGGTCACAATTTTTTAATCCAGAGGGTGGTATGACACCGCAGAAGGCAGCACTACCCCAGTGCAGGCCCCCCCTCACTCACCCCGCTGGCGATGCTCACCACGCCAGCTGGTCCTCCCCCCCTCACTGAGGCCTGACGCCGTGCCGGCACGCGCTGTGTGGCCCACAGTCGCTTGGGTCCCCCATGCCCTGTGGGGTGGTCTTTCGGGTGTTGGTGTCGCCATGGAGTGGTTCAGCCTTCCGCAGCTGGTACAGCACCCCAGGCTCATCCACCAGCTTCGGCAAGTGCGTTGCACCACGTTCCGCGACAGCCCTGCCCTCCCTGGCTTGCAGACGTCGCAGTGGGCGTTTGGAGTCTGGCGCCCCACAGGCGACTCACTCCGCCGGCCTCCCTCTTGCCCCCACGCAGATTGACGGACTTGGTCATATTGGTTCTCGTCTCACGACGAGTTTGGTTTCTCGGTTCACGTCTCAGACTGTGGCAGGCACCGAATTCTATGACATTTTGTCTGTGCACGTGCAAGAACTCCAGAATCAGGTCACCTGCAGCGTCTGCTTGTCTTCAGCTGCGCGGCTGCTTTGTGAGCGGGCCGTCCGGCGTGTGCCTGTTGTAGCTAATTAGCCCCGTACCGTGACCCGGACGCCGCTTCCGCTCCCTGACCGTTGCCTTGGAGCCGCTGACCAAAAAAATATCCCCACCAGCCTTCCCGCCGCCTGCCTCTTCGCTTGCGGCCGCGACCGAAATGTATCCCCACCAGCCCCTCTTCCGGCAGGCTGCGTCGTCCCACGTTCCTCGGCAGCTTAGCTCCCATAGACACGTCGTTGGGACGGATTGAGCCTGGCGCCCCACTGGCGACTCGCTCATCGGGCTTCGCGCCTGCCCCCACCCAGTATGACGGACACGTTTGCCCCGGTACACGTCATGTCGTTGTGTGGGCCATGCCTCGCGGCAGGCAACGAATTTATCGACATTTTGTCAGACTGCACGTGCCCGAGCTTCCCAGGATGCCTCTGCCGTCAGCTTCCCGCACAGCCCTGCGGCTTTGTGAATGGGCCGGCCGGCCAGCGGCGCGTCTTGTAGCTAATTCGGCTTGCCCGTCGGCCCGGACACCCTGTTCGCCGCGTGCGCTCTTCGCTCGTGGCCGCGACCGGAAAAAAAGTATCCCCACCAGCCCGTTCAGAAGCCCTGCCCACGAGAGTTGACGGGAAAAGGGGCGAAGAGGCACATGTAGTGAAACAAAGCGGACAACCAGGATCAACATGGAAATCTCTGAGAGCAAGGGGGTGGCCTTGGAGGGCCTCGTCGGGCCATCACTCGGGCCCGCGTAGGGGCGAGGGGGGGAGGAGGAGGAGGAGGAGGAGGAGGAGGAGGAGGGAGGCGGAGGAGGAGGAGGAGGAGGAGCAGGAGGAGGAGCAGGAGGAGCAGGAGGAACCAGAGAGAGCGTGATCCACCGCCGCTTTGCTGTAGAAAGTTCCCCCCACCTCTTCCTCCAGAACCTGGAGGTCCCCCCCCCTCCGAAAATCCCCCCCCTACTCGAACCCCACCCTCCCGGCAAGAACACCCCCTCCCCTCCCACTCCCCCCCTCCTCCAGAAAATCGGGAGGGGTCACTACCTGTTCGAATCCCACCCCCCCCCCTCCGGAACACAGGGGGGGGGGGGGGGGCAATACTGGTTCGAACCCCTACCCCCTCCAACTCTCGCCGCCGGCAAACGACTCCCGGGTCCCGACCACCGTCCTCGCCACCGCCCTCACCCCTCACCATTGTCCCCACCACCACCGTCCCCACCACTGTCGCACTGTTCCCACTGTCCCCACCATTGTCCCATTGTCCCCACTGTTCCCACCACTGTCCCCAGCAGTGCCCCCACCACCACGGTCCCACTCTCCCCACTGTCCCTCCCCATTGTCCCCACCGCTGTCACACAGTCCCACTGTCCCCAACACTGTCCCCACTGTATCACTGTCCCATTGTCCCACCACCGTCCTCACTACCGCCCTCACCACTGTCCTCACCACCGCCGTCCCCGCCACGGTCCCACTGTGCCAACTGTCCGCACCACTGTCCCACTGTCCCCTCACCACTGTCCCCACCACCACCGTCCCCACAACTGTCCCACTGCCCCCACTGTCACCACCACTGTCTCACTGTTCCCACCACTGTCCACACTGTCCCCACCAGTGCCCCCACCACTGTCGCACTGTCCCCACTGTCCCCACCACGGTCCCACTCTCTCCACTGTCCCCACCACTGTCCCTCTGTCCCCACCGCTGTCACACGCGGCGAGGAGGAGGAGGAGGAGGAGGAGGAGGAGGAGGAGGAGGAGGAGGAGGAGGAGGAGGAGGAGGAGGAGGAGGAGGAGGAGGAGGAGGAGGAGGAGGAGGAGAGGAGGAGGAGGAGGAGGAGGGAGGAGGAGGAGGAGGGGGGGGGTCGAGCCGGTAGTGACCCCCCCAGCTTTCTGCCAGCAGCTGCAGAACACGCTCGTTCCACGACCACGACCACGACCACGACGAAGAGGAAGGGGGGATGATGAGGGCAAGGACGAGGACGAGGGGGAGGAGGAAGACACAGAGGACGAGGACAGAGCCCGACGAGGACAGAGCCCTCAAAATCGCCTCTTCGAGCCCTCTTGGGACTCTTTTGGTGGGTCCTGGGGCCCTCTTGGGGCCCTTTTGGAGCCCTGTTGGGGGGTGTCTTGAGCCCTGGAGGGCCTCTTGAGGCCTCCTTGGAGGCAGTCGATCAAGGGGGGGGGTCCTCGATTTCAGCCTCCCCCCCGAGCCGTCGGAATCTCCTTTGGGGGCGTTCCGGGGCCGCCTCGGGGCACTTTTGGGGCTGTCTGGGAGGCATCGTGGGTCTCTCTTGGGTCATCTTGAGGCTGCAAAAGCGCATGGCAAGAGAATCGGCGAGAAGGCTAACATCATTGATGCTCCCGTGGTTTTGGAGTGTTTGAGCATCTTGAGGGGTCTCGAGGGGGGCTCCGAGAGCACTTGGAACCGTCTTGCGGCCCTCGTCGGGCCTCTTGGAGATATGCTGGAAGCTATCTTAAATCAGAGTCAACTATGTTGACCCATCTTGGAGGCCATCTTGAAGCATCGGAGGCCCTCTTGGAGCCATCTTGGGCGCTCTGACCGATCCCCCCCTTCCACCCAGAAAAGTGAGGGTGGCAGGTAAACGGCCTGGAAAGGAGGCGTTTGAATCAGGAGAGCAAGATCTCACTACGTAGACCACATTCGCCCAAAGGGCTGGTGGGATGACACCGAGGGTGTGATGTGCCTGTTCTCGCCGCCCTTCGCGCGGGATGTCAGCGAACGGGAATTTGAGGCAAGGGCGGGGCGACGGTCATGCAGGCCCCGTTGGCAGCTACAGCCCGAGAAGTGTCGCCCAGGCGCTGATGCGGCGCATGGTGGCGCTGGAGGCTACGGGGCAGCTGGACAAGGCTCCGCTCGTGGATGGGAGGAGGAGGACGAGGAGGAGGAGGACGACGACGACGACGAGGAGGAGGAGGATGAGGAGGAGGAGGAGAAGGGACAGCAGGAGGAGTTCACCAGATTGGCGCCGCGCCGACGCGGCGGCGACGCTGGCGCGGGCGTTCAAGGCAGAAGGCCGCCCGTGACTTGAGTTGAGCCTATATGAAGTGATATGCGTTGCCGGATAGCGGCGAGTGGCCAAGATTGATCGATCCACACGGTGTCAGTAAGCGCAGCCAACGTCGTCACGATAAGAAAGAGCCGCAGGCCAGCGATTCTCCTGGAGTGGGGAGGCGCAAGGGAAGGTTGGCAATCTGCCGGGGGGATGGTTCGAAAGATGCGCGAGAGTTGTTGCAAACGCGCCCACTGAGGCCACAGGCTCGCTCCTTGTGGGGCACGATCCGCGCGAGAGCTACGCCGAACCGGGCGAGAGGGCACGTGCGGACGTGCCCAACGGGACCATAGGTGGCGCTTTCTTCTATGGGGCACGATCCGCGTGAGGGGTGTGCCGAAACGCGCGAGGAGGGAAGGGGAGGAGGGGAAGGAACAGGAGGAGGAGGAGGAGGAGGAGGAGGAGGAGGAGGGGAGGGGAGGGGTAGGAGGAAGATGAGGAGAAGGAGGACGACCAGAGTAAACCCAAGATGCATCAGCGATGCTGCGATCGGCATCAAAATCACAGCCAGCGTGGACCCTAAACGGTGAGCTCTTGCAATGTATGCGGTGCACACTAGGTGGTGCAATCTAGGTGATGCAATCGATGCGGTGCAATCTATGCGCTGCAAAGCAATTCAAAGCAATGCGAGGGAAATGCAAAACAAATCACAGGCATGAAAGGCAATGCAACGCGATATAGAGCTATGCAGAGACAGGCCAAGCAGTGCAGAGCAATGCAAAGGAAAGCAAAACCGATGCAACACATCGCCATCGCAAAACGTTGCAAAGCAATGCAAAGCAGTGCAATGCAAAGCAAGCCAATGCAAGCCAATGCTTCGCAACGCAAAGCAATGCAACGCGATGCAAAGTAATGCAAAGCAACGCAGGGCAATGCAAAGGAAAGCAGCACGATGCAAAGTATTGCAAAGCCATGCAAACCAATGCAAAGAAATGCAAAGCACTGCAAAACGTTGCAAAGGAATGCAAGCCAACCCGTTGCAGTGCAAAACAGTGCAATGCGACGCAAAGCAATGCAATGCAAAGCAGTGCGATTGCAGCGCAATGCGATTGCAATTACAATACGGCGCAATGCAATACGATTGCAACACGGTGCCCAGACGACTGGCAGCGACGAAGCGGCGACGGGGCGGCGAAAGGGCGGCGACGGCGGCCACATAGCCGCCAGACCGCCATCGCCGCCCGGCGACGGAGCGGCGACGGGGCGGCGACGGCGGGCGGCCACGTAGCTGCCAGACCGGCACTGCCGCCCAGTCCTTGAGATCACAAGTAAAGACTTCTCAGCGCAAGCATGAAGTCGGGCCCGTCCCTCTACAGGAGGAATATTCAAAAATAGTCAAAAATTAGTCTGGGGATCATTTTTTGAGTATTGTTTGACCATGTGTGGGTATGTTTGACTATTTTCATGTTTCGTCCAAAATCCCCCTGCAGGGGGACAGGCCCGACTTCACGCAAGCAGCATTGCGTGGGGAACATATGAGCCGCCCTGTGACGCAGAGATCGCGGGCGCGGCCTTCACAATAGTTGTCGCGCCAACATGCCCGTCTCGAAATCATAAAACCTCGCGCAGATGCGGCTATGAGGGTGGTGTGTGCGCGCGGGGATTTGAAAGAGTGTTTCCCCAGTGTACGCAGTGCCAGTGTCATCCCCAGTGCTCATCCTCAGTGCCCATCTCCAGTTCCGATCTCCAGTGCCCACTCCTAGTGTCTATCCCCAGTGCCACTCGAAAGCGAAGGGTTCGAACCCAGCAAGGCGTGCCAAGGGATAAGATTGTCCCATTCGGGTGTGACCCCTCTCCCTGATCTAACAGAGCCGCACTAGTGAACTGCATGGTGGACAGCCAGGCCACTAGTGAACCGCACTGTGGACTGCACGTCTCATATATATATATATACATATGCAAGTATTTGATGCAGCAGTTCTGTACGTGCCACATTGTTGGACAGTAAGAATGGGCCGCCGAGACCAGAACAATAGCTTCCGAACCAGCACGATCAGGCTCCTTCTTGTCAGAGTTCGTTGTTGTCTTGTGTGCCGTGTCTTTTGCTTTTGTTGTTGGTGTCCCACTCAAGCCCGTCTTTGCGATCTTGAGTTGAACCCTTCATCTATTTTAAAGAGCTATATGAGGCATTGTGCTTGTATCCTTTCCCTGCCCCCGTCCATCTATTTTTGCTTGGCCGATTCTAGAATCCGTGTCTATTTTACATCTCTCGGCTCCGCCAGCCCATCCGGTTCTGCTTGATTTCCCCTGGGGACCAGCTCCGTTTGCCCATTCCACCTCGTTCCGCAGTTCGGCTCATGGCCACCGCGCATGTGTGCAGGCGCTGGTTGACGCTGGCTCGGTGTTGACCATGGAGCCGAAGAACCAGACTGCTCTTGACGTGGTCAGCCGGAAGAAGGATGGCTTTGGATAATTTGTTCGGAAACGATTAGTTTGAGAGAGAGAGAGACCGTTAGAGACTAGTTTTAGCAAGTGTTTTCGCTGCTGCTAGCCAGCACAATCCATTTAGACTTTGCGATGTTACTACTGAGAACTTCGGATAGCCCTTTGGGACACGCAGCTATGGCAACCGTTTCTCCAGCCAGCAGTGGCACGAAGCGAATGGACTGGACTACAAGGAGCACGAGGAGGAGGAGGAGGAGGAAGGACTTGGCAGGTCCACCTAGCGCGAGACCAAGGAACCAGAACTCGGGGAGTACGAGGAGGCTCAGCTTGCTTACGTTCTTGATGCGATGAATGCGGCCGTCCCCCCAGCCAGTGCGGGGCTCGCACTGGTTCGCCTGCTGTCTCCTCCTTCTCCTAACCGCCGTCGTCCTCCTCTGGCTCCTCGCCTTCCCCCCCGTCTTCCTCACTGTCGCCCTGGCTGTCGTCGTCGTCGTCCAGCTCCAGCTCCAGCTCCAGCTCCAGCTCCTCCTCCTCCTCCTCCTCCTCCTCCTCCTCCTCCTCCTTCTCCTCCTCCTCCTCCTCTGCCCCCCCCCGCTCACCCCCCACCAACACAGAACAACGCTGCCTAGGATGTCCTGGGGGGCTGGCGCGGGATGCCGCGGCAGCATCGGGCGCCAGCCCCGAGAGGAGCGGTCGGCCTCCTCGCGCCCTCGACGCCCCGCCGCGCTTCAAGTGCGGGCGGAGGGCCCGAGGCGCAGCACGGCTGGGCTTGCGACGGCGGCCCTGCAGGGCCCACTCCGCCTCCGCCTGCCAAGACAAAAAACTTCGATCCGATCGATCCGACGCGATCCCGATGGTTTCCACGGCCCGACGTGGCCCGATGGTTGCGTGGTGCTGTTGTGGATGCTGGCGCTGCCGATTCCATTCGACTCCGACTCCGTGCCTATGCAGTCCGCTTCGACATACGTTCCGATCCGATCCGATTCATTGATTCGATGCTGACCGCTCCCGCCTTGCCGCGCCGCCGCCAGAAGAGCCTGACGACGAAGGCGACGGACCGGCTGGAGGACCCGAAGAGGGGCTCCCGGCAGACGCTCGCGGTCTTCCTGTTCACGCAGGCACCGCCCGTTGTCGCTCTCGCTCTCTCCGACTCTCTCTATCTCTTTCTCTCGTTCTCTCTCTCCCTCTCTCGCTCTCTCTCTTTTTCTCTCTCTCTCTCTCTCTCTCTCTCTCTCTCCCTCTCCTCCTCTCTCTCTCACTTTTGTTTCTCTCTCTCTCTCTCTCTCTCTATTTTTCTCTCCCTCTCTCTCTCTCTCTCTCTCTCTCTCTCTCTCTCTCTCTCTCTCTCTCTCTCTCTCTCTCTCTCTCTCTCTCTCTCTCTCTCTCTCTCTCTCTCTCTCTCTCTCTCTCTCTCTAGTCTCGGCTCGAGAGTGCTCTGCACTCAGACCGCAGCCACGACGCGAAGCGCCCCGCCTCGGAGTCAGACTCCCAGGCCTCGCGAGACCGGAGGGGTCCCAGCAGGACCCTACTGATTCGCGTCACCTCTCCGCACCAGAGTGCCCGCAGCAATGGCCCCCAAGAAGCCGGAGCGCCGTCACTCTTCAAAGCAGCCTCCGAGCTCCCGTCCCACGCGCCCTGCTGCTGAAGGGTCCCTCCTTCAACGCAAGCAGGACTGCATCGCAGCGTTCAGGCAAGCGGGGTCTGACCGCCCCACGGCCGCCTATAACGGGCTAGCCGAACTGAACGCGGACGAGCTCCAGGCAAAGTACGACATGCACAAGTCCAACACGAAGAAGCTTGGCAGCGCCCTTATCCGCATGTGCGCCGCCAACCAGATCAGCTACACGCTCGACCACTACCAGCGCAGCAAGCCTAAGCGCACTGGCGGTGACACATCGCACCCACCATCGGGTTCCGCACGTCTTCAGGCTGCGGACACCCAATTCATTGCCTTGGACCCTGCCTTTTGGAAGGTCCCTGTTCTTGCCGAACCCACCTCGCCTGACGACGGCAAGACGTACAAGCCCAGCATCAGCCTCCACGACTTCGAGAGTGGCGAACGGCTGCTGCAACACCACCTCGGGCAGGGCAAGCGAGCCACGGGCCAGCTCGCAATTGCTGTTATGGGCCCGAAAAACGACAACTACGTCGGTACCGAGCTCGCCGCCCCCGTCCTGAAGCGCCACCCCAAGGCGCCCAAAGTGGTCCACACGCACGCCCCCGTGATCGTGTACCAGCTGGGCACCAAGGAGGTCGCCTGCACGGAAAAGGTAGCCGTCGCCACCATCGACCCCGCCGACCACGTCTGCTGGATTCGGGCGACCATACACGAGACCGAGGCCATTGCCGCAGTCCCCTCCATGCACCAGGCCTTCGAGGACCAGTTCTCGGGAGGTGCCCCCGTGAACGGTGGTCCACGCGCCAAGGGCCCTTTTCGAGGCGACTCCGCTCCACAGGACAAGGCGCGCCAAAAGCACAAGGAGTCCAAGAAAGACGCTCGCCGCCAGGAGCTCGATGGCCAGCTCCAGGACACCTTCAAGGCCCTCTTCCACGGCAACTTTAAAGCCGTCACCATCCTCGAACCCTGCAAAAGCCTAGGCAGGTTTGGATCGGGCGTCGGAAAGAGGTCCCTGGCTGCCACCTTCGGCGTCAGTCTCCAAGCGGTCGACAAGGTCCTGGCGGGATCAGGGCAACTCGGTGCCACCTACGACCTCAGCAACGTAGGTGCAGACGAGCCCACCGCCGACAAGTATCAGACCGTGTGGTTCCCTGAGGACCAGCCCATCACGATGGCAGACGCGTTCCAGAAGTCGGTGGAGCTCAAGGCCCTGGGAGTCGTCAGGCACGGCAAGTCAGGCCTGCTGGGGATCCGTGTTCCGCGGGGGTCTGACGTCGCCAAGGCCGCCGCTGTCAGCATCCGCGGCTGCGAGGCCACCCTCGCCAAGACGCGCTACCGCATCACTGGCATTGCGTCACGCCACGCCACGCTGACCCAGCTCGCCAAGACTCTCACGGGCCCGTCCGTCAAATGGGACTGTGAGGTCTACCACACCGCCTGGGACCCAGCCACTGCGGCCCAGTTTGCCCTAGTGCGCGCCCATCGGCCCCCACTCACCTATACGGTGCAGGTCGCGGGGTGCTCCATCCCGTGGAGCATCGCCGAGGCCCCGCTGGCTGAGGTGGCGCCGAAGCGGGACAACGTTACCATCGTCACGCCTACCACCATCACAGAGCCTGCGACGCCGCCAGCCGGTGGTGGCGGCTTCAGCCCCGCCACCGGCACACTCCTCACCAAAGCGGCCCAGAGCCCCTACCTCCACGACCTCATGACTGCCACGCCCAAAGGCAAGGGCGTCGCACCGCTCCTGACCCCCAAGGAGGAGCCTTAGCCAAGCGCCACCGATCCTCCAGCGGGAAACGAGACGCCACGCCGCCCGCAAGGCCACCCCGCGCCCCAGGCCGCAGCTCCTCTGCGCCCCCCCACGGCACGGACGGAGCCGCTGAACCGACGGCCGCCCCAGGACCAGGTGGCCACGACCCCTGGCTTGGCACGGCCGCGGCGGAAGGAGGGGGCCACACCGAAGGCGCCGCTGCCACAGCCGCCGAAGTACCAGGTGACGTCGTTGACGTCGAGATCCTCTCATCAGGCGATGAATACAGCGAGGCCTCCCACGAACTCAACACCTTCGGCGAGCGCTTCGCATCGGCCTCTAAACCGCCCGATGCTGCCACGACCCGCATCCAGCACATGGAACAGCAGCACGAGCTACTAGCCACCACGGTGGATAACATGCAGATGCAGCTTGCGGGCGTTCTCTCCTCCCAGGCCACACTCACGGAGCACGTTTCAGGGCTGGAACGGGGGCTTGCCACCGTCGTCACCCAGCAACAAACGGCAACCGCCGACGCCGCTGCACTGCGCGGCGATATCCAGACCCTCCTCGGGCACCTCACGGGAGGCACCATCCACCTGCCACAAGCGGCCACTCTGGAAGTTAAGAAGGAGGAAGCCGCAGCGGCCGCCGAGCCCGCGGCAGCCTGCAGTGCGACCGACCAGCCAGGCCAGGCCACCCCAGGGACGGGGCCCCCAGGGGCCGACAAAGGCAAGGACAAGGGTCGGGCCACCCAGGACCCGTATTGAAGGTGCCTCAGAGAGCCCGCCTCAGCCCTCCGAGGAAGCGCCTTCAGAGGCACCGCTCCCCTCTTCGCGTCGTATCTCTTTCTTGTTACCTCATGTCTGTTTTGGCAGCAGCACGCGCAAGCTCTCTGGTGTAGGGACACCCGTAGTCTTGCAGGGGGCGTGATTGTAGCGATTTACATGAGCATTCAGGGGTGTATGAGGACGCGTGCTGCCACGCAGCTTTCGGCTCATCGCTCGCGCCGCCCGCCAGGCCTCGCCATCATGCGGCGCCTCGCCTGCGGCCTGGCCCTCCCCTCGCTGGCTGGAGCACACCCGTCTTCAGGCGGTGCGCCCCAGCACGGAGGAGAGGCTTTCCTGCGACATGCGGAGCGTAGGACGTACTTCTACCTTTACGATGACAGCAGCTACAAATACGATCACAGCGCCATTTTGGACCCGATCGTGAACAGCACCGCCGCCGCTGGTCCGTGCGGCACCGGGCTGCTGGGCGCCCCCGCGAGCGCCTGGCCTGAGCAGCACCAGGGGCCCTGCCCCACGCGCTGCCCCCCTGGGACTTCGACGGCTACTACTATGCCTACGCCGAGTACCAGCACGTCTCCTACGAGCACGCCCTCGTCAACTACGACACATGCATCGCAGTCGACCGCCGATTTTGCCGCAGCTGAGCTGACTCCTGCGTCCTCCGGCCACGCCTCGCACCGCATGCAAGTTCAGCTACGAGGGCTACCATCACTCAATACGACGCCTGCGGTCGACCGTCGTACAGCATATCCTCGATGGCACCCTGTCTTCAGCTTGTCCTCGACCGTCGTGCAGCATATCCTCGACAGGACCGCTGGCAAGGCCCAGGCACGCAGTGGCGGCTTCAGCCCCGCTGCAGTGCCCTGGCTGCCACCGCCCCCGCATGACGTACACGGCCTGACTACCAGCAACACAGAGAGTCCCGCTTCCCCTCTGTGCGCCAGGGGTGAACCTGATGAGGATCCCGCCTTCTGGCACCTGATGAACATCCGAGCACGGCTCATCCCGTGCGCCGCGGCGTGGGCACCAGGTGAGGACCATCAGGACGTTTACTGGGCATGGCTCGAGGACTGCGTCCCGCACGTCCTGGCGACGCTCCATCTGCCACAGTACGACCACCTTTTCCAGGAGGACTCCGCGGAGAAAAACGACGCCCTGCGTCACCGCACCGCGGTCGACATGTGCGAGGATATCTGGCACAGAGCGGGCCCCGACAGACAGCGCACCAACCGCAACCTCACTCGTATTCAGGGCAGCCACGAGTACCCCACCCGCTACCTTGGCCTCCTTCTGGAATACCAGTGCGCTCGTGCCCAGCTCGTCGGCCCTGAAGCTTTCGCGGCACCACTGCCGCCATACCTCTCACGGGCCCACGCCTTGCTGCCAAGAGGCCTCCCTCCGCCCGACCAAGACGCCCTGGCGTATCTCGTGGATGCGATCCCGCACCACCCGCCAGACCTGCAGCCGCTTGTCGAGGCGGAGCTCGCCGCGGCATCGATGGAACCGCTAAACCTACCACCGCCCGCTGGCCCCCCCGCCCAAAACGCCACGTGCGACCAGCCCGCGGACGACGCTGATCCGCTTCTGCTCCAGCACACAGCTGCCAGCGATATCAGCAACATATCCCTGGACTCGTTCCACGTGTCGGACGATAGCCAGAACGACTCCATCCACGACACGGAAACCCAGGACCCCGACGGCACGCCACCGCCAAGTGACGCTGCCCAGCGCGACCGTGACAGCGATCCCCACACAGGGCGCTCCCGGTCGCGCAGCAGTGCGCCCAACAACTCGGCCCAGGCCGACCCCAGCGCACAGCTCAGCGACGCCGAAGGTGCCACCGCCGCCGACGAGCCAGGCCATGCCACCGCACCGCCAGCTCCCACCAGCCCGCGCAGTGGCGGCTTCAGCCCCGCTGCAGCACTGGCTGGACCTGGGCGTCTTCAGACCTCAGGT